AATGGGGGGATTTACAAGGAAAGAAGAAGGAAGAAGAAAATAGATGTGTGCATGGGGCGAATCTGACTTTTTACAATTGCCAATTCCTAAATTGTGGTAATTTTAGAAACATATCAGAAATATGGCAGATTTCGAAAGTAATTACAAAAAAATGGCATTTCTGGTAACTTTCACTAACATATAACCTATATCAGTTAACCGGTAATATAAATCAGCAACCAAAGTGATCCGCAGTTTCACCGTGTCCGTCGTATCCAGACTTTTCCAGTTATTAAACTTGTGGTTTCAATTTTGATCTCTCATCTAATCGGGAGTCATAAATCTTCCGTCGAAGATCTTGGGGTGCTGCTTTTGAATCGCTTGAGTCTCTCCATAGTCACGCGTTCTCTGTTTTAGTTCCATTTTTTTAAAGAAATTTATCAAAAATGCCATAGATTTTTAAATTCTTTTCAAAAATTCCATTAACCCAAAATTCTTTTGAGAAATACCACAGTACACTGGTCATCGGACTTAAAATGAAATTATGTATATTTGAGCTATGCATATTTGAGTTATGCATGAAATTTCAGTTTTGTGGAAAACAAAACACACAGCTCGTGCCTTTTCCTCAACTATTTTTTTAGATTCTTTGGTGATTATCTTGATGTGGTTTATTTTGTACAACGGATCTCGATACCGTTCAGAACTTTGCAAGAGGTAACTTGTTATTTTGTGTAGCAGCATTAGTTTGATTAGGTTTCAACTTTGTCAGGATCTCGAATTTGAGTTATGTTTCTGTCCCTTTCTATATCTAGTTAGGTGTATATGTCTATGTACCAAAACGACGACTCATTTGTTTGTGGATTTTTAACATGACACTGATAATATATATCATCTGATTGCTAGAAACAACATTTAATGCTTATACTTGATGCACATGCTCTATGCTAGGCTGATTTACTAGTTAACAAGAATTTGATATTGTGGGGGTTGGGATAATTTCTTGTGATAATTTCCTATTATAATTAATTCATAATTATTGATAATTTCCTATTAATATGATAACTATTTATTGATAATTTTCTTGTGAATAATAATGTTACTTTCCTCTTATCGTAGTGGTTCGAATGAATTTCAAGTGTTTTGAAGGTTATATATATCTTATGCATTTGAATCTCTAAGGCAGAGTGGCTTCAATCCACCTACTTAATCCTCGGTGGTTTGAATAAACAAATATGGTTATTGTTTCCGGAGATCATTTTAGTTTTGCTCATTTGAGTTGCCAAATTGACTAAACACTGGGTCCATGAAGAGTTATAAAAAGCTGAAATCTTTGAGATTTGTATTTTAGGTTGAGTTGAGTATTCTTATAAGAAGCATCTGAAATCGCTTTATTGATAGTCCCCTCTTGTGAAACCAGGTGGTTGTTATCATGCCAGAGAAGCACGAAACTATCATGGTGGTAGTCTGCGAGAGACACGTAACAACAAACTCCTTTGTTTTGCTTTCAAAGATCGCTTCTTGGCTCGGTGCTTCTTCTTAGAAGAATTCGAGATAGAAACCTTTCCTTTGAAGGACCCAAATCTTCGTTACTGAATCTACAAAGAACCAAAAAGATTTTCAAAACATCGCAAGATCATCAGTGGAACTATTATAGTTGGTATTTTTTTTTGCTCACGATAGAAAGTTTGGTATTAAAATGATTTTATGAGGGTTTTTTTTTCTAATTTCAAAATGACGCCGTTTTGAAACTTAACAGATAAAATAAACGGTAGTTAACGGTTTTTTAGCGGATGTTAAAATTGACTAATTCTATACCTAATTTAATCGAATCAATAAAAGTTTGGAATTTTTTTTTACTCATTACAAAGTTAGTATTTATTTTGGCACAAAACGGATAATTCGATATGAAAATAACCGTTTTTCCATTAGTTTGTAGGGATTCGGTTAATTTAGTTGACCACTAAATGAAAGGCACGTAAACTCTTCACGAACCACATCTGTTCCCTT